CATTTCACTCTTATTTTGTGGGCTTTATGTAGGAATTTGCGGGCGATGTTTAACAGTTCACTTTCCCAAACCTCCCACCTGAAACAGACTCCCCACCATTGCCTTCTTCTTCCCTACCGAAGTAACACCACTAGCCAACCCCACCGGAAAAGCCCAAGCCACCCCAGCCTTTCCTGGCCAACGATAGCAGCCCCTTCCTCTCTTTTCCCTCCTGACCGCCACCTGAAACAGTCCCCCCTGCCCACCAACAACAACCTAACCAAACACCACCAAACACGCATCGTAATAGTAGCCATTTCAACCTCATATGCTGCACTTTCACCTTATCACGACCCACAAAATCAAAGCGTTGCTCAACCCCATCAACCACCAATTCTGTTCCCAAATTTGCACACCTAGATAGCAACCACTAATCTGCCCACTAACAACCACACCTTCACATCCACCACTCCCAACGACAACAACATCAGCCCTTGCAACTCCAAAACAACCAATAAACAACAACCAAATCGACACCAAAAGTATCAATTATAGCAAGCCAACACCCAATTCTGACCTCCTAGGACTCCAGTAGCAACAATTCACTCAATTCCATCCACAAATTGACGCAATAGCAGGGGGAGGGTGACGCGAGAGGGGAAGTAAAGCAGAGGGAAGGTTTCGTGGGTGGCTAGGGTGTCGAGTTTAGGAGGTTTCAAGATGGCTTGATGGTCGGTTTAGGGAGTTTCGTGGTCAGGTGAGAGTGGGTGTGGTAAGGAGTTTGGGATAAAGGTCTGGTGGTGGTTATGGAGGCTTGGTGGTGGTGATTATGGTGGAGTTACCATTATGGGTTAGGGAGGTGGGAGGTAGGAGGAGAGAATTAAGAAATTAAAGTAAAAAAAAAAACAAATAATAACCTGTTAAATAGGTTTTAGGTAAAACGGATCATTTTGAGCAGATCATGGGTAAAGGTGGGATTATTTTCAAATTATTCGAAGGTGGGATTGTTTTGAGCAAAAGTAGCAAAGGTGGGATTATTAGTTTCCATTTTTCCTTTTTGATATCACATACTCCGTTAACAGTTATTTGCAACATTTACCCAAAAAGAGTGCTACCTATTATTTTGCAACAAAACTATTTCTTTTCTAATATAGTAACTTTTTTCTGATAAAATGACCAAAATACCCTCATTTAAAAATTATAAACACGTAATACTACACATAATTACAAATTATTATAACCCTAATCTAACTTAATTATCTACACTTTTCCCAAAAAAATTTGATTTCATCTCCCTACCATTTCTCTCCTCCTTCTTCATCTCTCATCTATCATCTTCTTCCTTATTCATCTCTCATCTCAGTTCGTGGGTGGTTGTTGGTGGTTTGTGGGCGGGTTTGGTAGATCCGGTGGTTTTTGTGGTTCGTAGGTGGTGTTTATGGTTCGTGGGGGACTATTTCGTGGTTCGTGGGTGGGTGTCGGCGGTGGTGGTTCTGGACGGTTCATGGGGGTAGTTTCTCGGTGGGTTTGGTTTTTATTAGGTTTCAGATCTGGTGGTTTAAGGGTGGTTTTCGTGGTTCTTGTGTGGTTTTCGTGATTCTTGGGTGGATTTCGGTGGTTTGTAGGTGAGTTTCGGCGATTTGTGGGTGGCGTGTGGTGGTTGTTCGGTGGTTTGTGGGTGAGTTTTGGTGATTTGTGGGTTGCGTGTGGTGGATTTCGGTGGTTCGTGGTTCTGGGTGGCATGGGTGGTGGTTCTGGGTGGCGTATGGTGGTGATTCTGGGTGGCGTGTGGTGGTTGTTCTGGTGGGTTCTTTTTAATTGTAATTGCTTTTATTTTATTTTTTTAATTGATTAATAGCTAATTACATGTTCATAACTTTCAATAATCATGTTTAAGAAGTTTTGCTTAGGAGTCCGCGCTGACCCCTTTTGTTGCAAATAACTGTTAATAGAGGTAGTAAATATGTAATTATGAAACAACTTATATTGTACTAATAAGTATTGCGTATTACATACATTACAAGTCTTATCATGTTAGTTTTCTTAGGTAAAATTTTCCATTATTGTGTAATGATCATAAGGCAATTTCACAACTTTAATTTTTAAGTTGTTAAAATTTGTTTTTTTTTTCGATTTGATGAAATGTAATAAATTTATTGTTCTATTAATTAAAATACTTCCTCCGTTCCAATTATATTGCAATAATTGGACTTTTGCACTATTCATCATTCTTGTTTGACCATATAATATGATTTATACGTTAAGCAAAATATAGTCATGTGAGATCTTGTTAGATTCTTCTCATAAAATACTTTCACAATATAAACTTTTTATAATATTTACTCTTATACAATTATATATATTTAACATATAAAATGTGCTTTTGAATGCGTGATTTCATCCTTGTGCAATATTATTGAAACAGAGGAAGTAGTGAATAGTTATCAAATAAATTTTTTTGTATCATAATATACAAAATATACCTCAGAGATTGCTAAAATTAAAATTGGAAAATAAGTGTTAATGACTTACTATTTTGGTTAATTAAGGACTCAATTGCGCACAATAGGCTTATTGATAGGATCACCGACGGTGAGGTGGTTGTTGATGGTTAGTCTTCTCTATTAATTGCTTCAGTTTTCCTATTCTGTGAGTCATAGGAGTTCTTTCTTATTAGCCATTCTAGTGCTAATACTCTTGAACTTATGACCTTGCATAAAATTTAAGTGTCACTCTAGTGCTAAAACCTACTAAGTCCGTTCTTGTATGTTCTACTCACTTAATATATATCACAATTTAAGGAAAAATGTTAATGAATGTGAGTTGGTGTAAGATAAAGTAAGAGAGAATGTAAAAAAAGTTAGTTGCGTGATAAAAGGGTGAATGAAATAAGAGAGAGTGTGAAAATATGCAATTATTGTGGGGTTGATGAAGAGTAAGATGGTAAAAGAGGTATGCCATAAATTAATTAAAACAAAATGAGTTGAACATAAACGAACGATCAATCTAAAATGAAAAGTGAGTAGAATTAAATAAACGAAGGGAGCATGATTTAAAATGGTTATAAAAAGACTTATAATTAAAGATATGTTCTTTTCATCTGATTAGACTTAAAACTTATATGAACTGAACTTATTAGATCTGATTGAAGCCGATTGAAACTTATAAGACCTTCTTGGACTTGATTGAAACTCATTGGACCTGATTCAAACGAGTTGATTAGTACTCATTTTGTGTTTAAATAAATGAAACGTTTTCTTTTTGCGACCATGTTTTAATAAATGAAACGTTTCCTTTTTAGTAACTTCTCTCCATTTTTAAAAAAATATTCTCTCTATTTTTCAATAATATTCTACTAACTTTGGTCTCCATAAAACCCCTTAGTTTCTTCTCTCTCCTGAAACTTATACCTAGGCTGATCAAAACTATCCGAAAAATCAAAAATCCGATCCGTAACCGTTCCGAAAATTCGGGTACCCGATCCGATAACCACAACAGTTCGGGTACCCGATTCGATAATTTGTTATCGTGTATGACTATTGGGTATCATTTTAAAATTAACGGTTACTCGATCTGATAAACAATTTTTTTGTTTTTTTTCCTACTTTAATCTATTTTTCCAAAATTTCAAACACTTACTTTACTTCATAATCACTTTATAATACTAGGGCAGCCAAAGCGCGCAGCTTGCCCTTTCGGCCTAATTTTTCTTGGCTTGTGTTTGCACTTGACATGGAGTTAATGGACTGATAAAGGAATATCTCTCTATTACTTAGTCTTAATTTCTCTTGGCTTGTGTTTGTACTTGACATGGAGTTAATGGTCTGATAAAGGAATATCTCTCTATTGCTTAGCCTTAATTTTTCTTGGCTTGTGTTTGCACTTCACATGGACTTAATCATCCGCTGCCGATGGCTCTTGTCTTTGATGTTGTAGGATATTCTGGGAAATCTTATACAACAGGCTGCACCCTTATTTAATTAGTGAAAAAAACAACGTGCTAACACTTTATATAGGAATTTTTGATACTAATATATCTTTTGGGTTCATTGACCTAATTGGAAACAACAAGGTACATCATATAGCAGTGCAGGGTACATCACAATACATAGTAGTGACATTAATATATAATAGTATTTAGATACACATGATTTCACAATGCTCAAAAGTTAACAGATAATTGAAAATGAACTCGGACAAAATGCTTCTAACAATTTGGTTTTGTAGTAAAATAAGCTCTATGCAGCCCCATAATTCCCTTGAATCCCATCTTGCTTTCTTCCCCTTTTCACCGTAGTCAGTTTGGTTTTCTTTCTTCCTAGTACATCTATTTCGACACAATCATAGATTAATTTCATTAGTTTCAATGTCCTTTAAACACAATTATGTATAAGTCGTTAATTTTGACCTTCACAAAATAAAGAAAAATAAAATTTCCACATAAAACAACAACCTTTCGTTGTCTAGTGATTAATGTTGTATATAATTAAACCATAACCCCCATTAAATTAAATATAGAAAATTTTAAACTTTATTATTCCATTCTCCATTTAATTTCTAATTAATTGATGGGTCTTAAGAAAAATTACAAAATTACACATGGGGGTAAGAAGGTAAACAAACATTTTGAGGGATATAATGGTCCGTGCACTATTCATAAGAACGATATCCTACTTTTTATAAGGTAGGGATCAATGATTAGTAATATTATTAATAAATTGTCAAGATCATGTGATATTGTTGTTAATTAGTGTTAAATGATATCGTAATAACTACATTATTAAGTTTAATTATCATTATTGGATATCTTATTGGGTACTCAATAACCGATCTGAAAATCCGGGTATCCGAATTTATCGGTTCGGATTATAGATATCACTTTTTAATGATATTGGTTATCGGTTGCCCAAACCGTTAGAGATAACAATATGGGTACCTGATCCATGCTCACCCCTACTTATACCCCACTCTGGCTACATAACTGCCCTCTATTCATATTTATGGGTTACGTTTGGAATTTCATTAGGAGAAAAAATGGTCAAAACCTTGCCAACAAAAAGGAACCAAACAATTGACGGAACAATTTTGGACGCAACACAATTATAGTTCCTGAAATAAAAAACTGTACTCTACTAGTATAGAGAGATCGACAACTCCGGTCACTAGTCAGTAGTCACTACTCACTAAACCTTAAACCCAACTCCCTGAAAACCAACTATGGCGACACCACAATCTAAAACCCCTTCAACAGACACCCTTAACCCTTCCACCACCCCAACAACTGTCGCTGAAACCACCCAACAACCCACTTCCGGCAACCCACCACCCAAGTCCCCTGAATCCTCCGTTAAGCGCAAGCGAGAGGAAGAAGATGTAGAATCAGAATCAGATGACCTAAAAAAGCCGAAACCCGCCTCGCTCCACCCCCTCCACAAAACAAGTCTTTGCTCTTACTTCCGCAGCAATTCTGGGTCTTGTAGTCATGGAGAAGAATGCCGATTTGCCCATAATGAGGAGGAGCTTCGGCCTCGGCCCGATGGCTCGTGGGACCCCACTTCGCTAAGGGTGAAGAGGAAAGAGAGTGAGGAGAAAAGGGATGCTGAAGATGATGAAGGAGATGTGGAAGAGGAGAGGAGTGCTATGATGACTGAGGTTTTGGGTGATTCTGGTGATCCTCAGCTTAGTAAGTGTTTGATTCATTTGCCTAGGAAGTGGACTTCTGACCAGTTGAAGACTTATCTTGATGAGCAGGTTTGTGGGTATCTTGTTTTTTTAGTTATTGTTTTTGATAGCGCGTGGATGTCTACTAGCTTAGTTGGTAAAAGTCTTGTAAAGGTGGTACCCGAGACTTGGGATATAATCCCGGTTATATCATTGTACTTTGTGGCTCGCTTTTTACTGAATTTGTTTTGATAGTGAAATTTGATTGAGTAGTTTTTGTTGGTGGATTGTAATGTTTCATATGGCTGTTGTTGAAAATGCCATTGAATACAAGTATGAAGCTAGGACTTTCAGTTGAATATATCAATATTGAACTGTGAATGTCTACTGTTCCTTATATGACGAGAAAAAGAACCAACTTGAAACAAAGAAAGATACCAATGATCTAGGAAGCTCATTGTTGCTAATAGGCTTAGTTCTGGTGGGTGGACTTTTTAGGGGTACCTACCTGATTTTCTGGGGCAAACCACTTAGGTTGGTTTTGCATTGATTGGGTTTTATTGTTTCTTTCAAACATGTGGATTTCCAATAGTAAAATTTTAGTAATTTAAGGGTCATTAATTTCACTAGCGGTTCATGTTTTGCCATTGCACTCTTCTGATTGTTCTCCTTGGAGAAGTAGGAGTTTATTCTACACTTGTCCTTGTTTAGATACATGTAGCTATCTTGCTGTTATATAATTTAAGTTAGGGCTCAATTGAGTAGTGTTTAAGTGTTAATAATAAAGTTGTTGTACATTGACTTCAAATGCAGTGAGCGCATGTAACAAGCCCCGCAATTTGTCCAGGCACATTGATTTTCATGTTGCTGGCCTTGCTGCATATGCAGGGTCATCTCAATGATTTCTGCTAAATAAAGAATAAACTGGCCTTATCAATTTACCGTATAAAAGCAAATGCAAATATTTAACTATCACCATTGTTAGGAAATTGTGGATGTCATGTAGCTTAGTTGATAAGACTTTTGTGAGTGATGCTCAAGGCGTGTGTTGGATCAAGTGTACATCATTTGCCCTTGTGGCTCTTTCTATAACTCAACAACAACAACAACAACAACAAAATGTGATTGTTAATTTTTGGATGGAGTATGTCAGAATATTAGAAGTACAGTAGTGAAGTGTAATCGTTAGTGGCATGATGGCTGCAACAAACCACTTAACAAGTGCAAGATGCTGTTTTCTCAACTTTGTGATTGTTGTTGCTTACCACGATTATGCTCATAGCTATACTGCCCTTTTCTCCTCCCCCCCCCCTCCTCTGGCTGCAATCCTGGAACTTTTTTAATGGAAAATTTCTAGTGAAATTTTGAAGCAGGGCACTGACATTGTGTAGTGAATAATATATTTCACAACCTCTTTACAGATGGCGTGCTATACAATGAGATGAAATTTTACTTTCATTATGTTTGAAAAACCTCTGTTTTGTTATTCCTTAACTAGAGGGGTTTTTGGGGAGTTTGGGTTATTGTGTTTATGGAGATATATACTGAAGTCCAAGTCACCTTTTATGTCACTTGGGCTTGCGATTAATACTTCTAATCTTACTAGGGTTGTCCAAAGTGGAATTTGAACTAATATGTGTCGCCTGGACTTACCATTGTGTAGAAGGTTTTGATTGACGGAAAAGGTCATTACCGTGATATCCATGAAAATCTCCAGAATTCTTCAATGCCAATCCCTCCACATAGAGAATTTGAGAAATGTGACTCTTATACCCGAGGTCAAAGTACTCGCTTCATACCATATCTTCTTTCCACCCTCTCCCTTTGTTTTTCAGTGTCTCTCATACTAATTAATGAGGTCTCAAAGATATATACTGCTATTGGTTTAAAGGTTTAATTTGTCTAAAAAAAGCTCTAAATAGGTGTATTATCTCTGTTCTATATTTCATGCCTATTAAGAACGAGAGATTGGAATTTATGCTTTTTGGATGTTAGAGATAGGAAGATCCCACTTACTGAGAAATGAATGTAAATATTCTGAAACAGACCAAAATGGAAAATGTTGAGGCTATTTGGTGCAGGAGGAAGGAAATTATAGGGATGCAAAGTTGGAGTTATTGTGCTTGAGAGTATGTGTAGTAACCTAAACCTAACTCTTAGTCCCTAATTTTTTATATTTGTTTCCTACATAAGAGTAATTCCTTTACATCACCTTTCTAAGAGGAAATGCAAAGTGTGTGTGTGTGTGTGTGTGTTGGAAGAGGGGGATTGATGCAATTAATATGTCCACCAATATCGGTCTAGTGTCCAATCAAACAATGTTGTGTCCACAGTTTTAACAAATAAAGGTGTTTTGTGTAGAAAAGTCCTCATAGTCTCATTTTCTTACTATAAGTAATGATGATTTTCTTGCCTTTTGGGTTTCGCACAAATTTTTATTTTTGGTTATATGGGCTCGGTAAATAAGGGTCTTGGGTCGTGAAATTAGAGTTCATGACCCACTTTTTCTGGGTCGGGTTGGTTTTTAATGGGTTTATTTAAAAGAATTTTTATTTATTTATTTACTTATTTGCTTTAGTGCTCTGTTACGCACTTACGTGAGTGCGTAAGTGAGGCTAGTAAGTCCTACATAAGAGTAATTCCTTTACATCACCTTTCTAAGAGGAAATGCAAAAGTACATATTGTGAGGCTAGTAAGTCTACACCACGGCAAAAGGGAGTTTCTCACCAGCCAACTTCTTAGTTTATATAATTGCGCATCAATCCCCCTCTTCGATATATATATATATATATATATATATATATATATATGTTCAGACCTGCTTTGTTCCGATTGAGTTGACCTCTTTGTCATAGCGCTGATCAATAAGCTTCTTAGATATATACTACCTCCTTTTTTTAGTTGATGCGTATTCCTTTTTGGGAAGTTTTTTATTTATTTGACACGTATCCCTTTTTGGGAAGTCTAATTTAGTTGACCCCACTACAAACTTGATTAAATAAGCTTTGCACATGGTCTACCCACTCACTTTAACATTCTTTCTCTTCTCCTTAAATTGTGTGCCTAAATTGAACATGTCATCTAAAAGGAAACAGAGGAAGTAACATTTAATTTTTGTTATCATCTTTTCTAAAAAGCAAACTAGTTGTGTAGTTCTTTTGTTTTGCAGTGTCTCTTTTGACAGATGGACACGTTATACTAAATTTGTACATTGTTGCTTACATTTCTAGGGGGTCGTCTTCAAACTAGCTAAGAAGAAAAAAGGTATGTCAGTTGGGTTTCTGACATTTGAAGCAGCTGAACAAGTTAAAAGTGCAACAGAGGTATTCATATTTGTGATAGGATAGACCAGTGATGGAGCTGTTTCAGAACTTAAGTTTATTTCTAACTCACAATCTGATTGCTTTAGCTATTGGGAGGAAAATCTATTGGCAAGGAGAAACTAAAGATTGGGGATGTCATTCCACGATCTTATGATGAAAAGATAAAATCAGCCCAAAAGAGGTATCAAAGTGGAATGCCTGGAGTAGCTGATGAAACAGAGGCTACTTTGGCTTCAAATGGTACTGAAGATGGTGAAGGGAATAGTTCGACTTCAAGGGTAAAGAGTGTACGTGATGCAGTGACTCCCCTTGCTCACCTATCATATGCAGAGCAACTAGAGCAAAAAAAGAACTCTCTGACGCAAATGCTCAAAAAACTTGTTAGTTGTTTTATCCTTCTTTTTCAACTAATATGTATGTCTCTTTTGTTGCTTTTATGATCTTAGGAATGTCAAGATTTCATGAGTGAAGCATTGATGGACTTATCTTATATTGCAGACTAGAAATGCACGTAAAGCATGCCCAAAAGATCTTCAACTACCTGAGTGGGTTGTTAAATCCAGAGAAATAGGTAATTCCACTTGTCATATTAAAAAAAAATTCTTTTATTTGCATTACCCCTTGCTTTTTCCTTGGCTACTATATGCTTTTAAGCAGGCATGGTTATATTTAGCAGAGCAGTCCATCCCCTTATGTTTCTCATCTGTAATACTTCCACCATCCCTCAAAGATCAACCCCCCCCCCCCCCCCCCTCTTTTTTTTTCCAATCCGTCCCTCAAAGATTGCCCCATGCAATTTTTGGTATGTGGTCTTCACACATCTTTCCTCAATACAATAGTAATAAATATAGGTTAATGACAAACCTACCAGCTCACTTGCTTTTATTCTGCCTAACTCTTAAAAAAAGCATTTGGGACAATCTTTGGAGGACAGAGGGAGTATTATTTTCATGATATTACTTATTGGATTTACAATGCTACTTCTCCACTTTTATGTACTAGGTGGACTTCCATGCAAACTAGAGGGGATAATTGAGTCACCACTTATAAATGGGTATCGTAACAAGTGTGAGTTTTCTGTTGGCCTTTCAGTACAAGGGAAACCTACTGTGGGTTTTATGCTTGGAAATTTCAGGTAAGATCTAGTTCCATAAATTTATGGGTCCCTTGGATCTGAACAAGATTTTAATTAAACTTTACATCTCTGTCTTTGCAGAGAGGGCGTGACAGCTGTTGAGGAGCCTACAAACTGCCTGAATGTTTCTAAAATTGCATGCAATTATGCCTCGGTCTTTCAGGAATTCTTGCGGGATTCGGCTTTACCTATTTGGAACAGATTCAACAATAGTGGCTTCTGGCGTCAATTGACTGTCAGTTATCTCTTTTTTAGACTTGGTGGTTTTGCTCATATTGATTATTGAGTCCTTGTTTCCAATGCATTGAAAAGAACCATTGAATGCGAACCTTTGTATGTTTTGTTGGATGTATCTTTCTCTCATCAACAGGTTCGGGAAGGCCGGAATCCACAGAAAAATGTTGAGCTGGAGATTGAAAATCACGAGGCTAATATTACAGAGGTCATGCTTATTGTTCAGGTCTAATTCTCGTACTATAATGTCTTTCTTTGGTATTCTGAGTTGGTATAACTTGTTAATTGTTCCAATGAACTGGTGAAAGGAGTCTTAGCAACTGATTGGTGACTTGTTGGCGGTTGATATTGACCTTCAGCACCAAAATTTTCTCGTGCATAAAGAAGTAAATTCTATCATTACTTGTGTAGTGACCAAATTATTAACATTTTCATAACCATTTTTGTCTTTTAGGTTTCGACAGAGGGCTGTGATGATGATCTCGTGAATAGTGAACTCGAGAAATTGACTCAAGCATTTGTCAATGGTGCTGCTTCAACATCTCCACCTTTGCCTCTGACTGTATTAGCTCTGCAGGTTAGTACTGAGTTCTCATTCATTTTTATTTTGCATATGGAAGGATACTCCATCAATCCCAAAATAGAGTCCCTATTTGATCTTTTGTGGTCAAAGTTTGATTGATTTGACTATTAATTTGTCTAAATTTTATGCGATTAACAGTATAAAAGTAGAAAGTAGAAAAGCTTGACAATATTTGAGCTTTAAGGGCCCACAAAGTCAAGTAGGAAGTTTATTTTGTGAGAAAAGGAGTATTTAAATTTGCATAATCAATCTATCTATTGTGTGAAGTGGGCTATGTAATTGTTATTCATCTATTCTTACTCCTTTATCATGAGTCAAATAAAGAAACCATTCTAGTAGCTTCACCGAGTTAATGTTACTTCCTCCATTCTACAAATATTGTACTATAAGTGCACAATTATTAAGGTTAAGAGAGAGACAATAGAGGGACCGTTGTGATGAGGAGAGTGATAGAGAGAAACATTTGCCATATAAGGTAATGATGCAATAACTTTGCAACTTTCCAAAAGGAAAGTGTTGTAATTTTGAAGACCGAAGAAGTATGATATATTGATATAAGCCTCTTGGCTAAATTCATACTCGTATGTTACTCCTATTTTTGAAGCATCATGGAAACTTTGAAAGATGTTTAGCATCAGTATGATTCCTGGTTTGTATGAACACCTTACTATTAGCTACTGACCTATGCTTTGTGTAATATTGTTCCTGCAACTGTTTTGTATTGCTAATTCTTGGAAACCTTTTTTAAGGTTTGGTTTGTAGGCCTACTGACCTAGGTCTCTGTAATATGTTATCTGAGAATTTAATTTTATTTTTTATTTTTTTGATGGGTATGGTGATTCCTCCTTGAGTCTGATTCTCTATAACGTTGAGTTCTAGATGCATGTGAGGACTTTAGAAGGATGATTGAAATCCACTTGTAGAATTCATGCATTCTGCATTTTAAATATTTTATGCTTATTTATTTATTTATGAAGTAGTTGTTTTGGATCAAGAGTCTATTATAACTGGCCTCTTTGTACTGAAAAAGGTATGGCTATGATGAATAATTACATATCTCTCCAAGCATATCCTTGGCAAAACCCACTGTTGAGGCATTGGAGTAATGATGGTATGGTGCATAGTATTGTGCACTCTCAGAAGAAACCTTTGAATTTGATTTGTTCCCACCTTTTTCAGGATCACAAAGGCATATCCAATGTAGCTCCTGCTGATGCTCCATTGCGTCCACTACCTATACATACAGCTCAATCTGGTTCTGAGACAGAAGTGATCATGGCTACCAATGAATCCAGGATTCATGATTACATTGGCAATCTTCGGTTCTCTATATCACCTACTGCATTCTTTCAGGTTTAGATCTCTTGCTGCTGTTAAATTTTATTATGTGGATGATTTGTTTGACAATAGCTATGAACTGATTTACAGGTTAACACTCTAGCTGCAGAGAAGCTATATTCTCTTGCAGGAGACTGGGCTGGTCTAGGTCCGGATACTTTACTATTTGATGTATGTTGTGGGACTGGCACAATCGGCCTGACATTAGCCAACCGTGTTGGTATGGTAATACTGTGAATCTTAACTTCTTTCATTTTGTCTCCAATATCATGTTAGAATTCAGCTTTAGGCACTGTAGGTTCCTAATAGATGGCCTGACATAGCTGATGCTATTGATATGTATCCTGTACCTTTTTTAAACCTTACCTGGTGAAATACCTGTTAATAATTTTCACAATACTTTCTGCTGCCCAGCAGTTTTCCATGTAATTTCTTGTCTTATATATTCAATTTTAGTAATGGCGTTATTGGATTTCCACCCTCTTAAGAAACTGTGATCCATTTTCAGGTAGTTGGTATTGAGATGAATGCTTCTGCTGTATCCGATGCACAAAGGAATGCTGAGATTAATGCCATTACCAACTGTAAATTCATCTGTGCAAAGGTTGGATCTCAATCCTTCTTGATGTATGGGTTGTATGGCAGTCAAATGCTATGCTTAATTGTTTGGTTATATGTAAGACTGTAAGTTATCAAGTTCTTTAGTTTGTAATGCCTATTCTGGTAGCAATGCCAGTTAATATTCAACAACTTTTAGCTATTGAAAATGTTATCCTATGCCTTGGGTAACTAGTTTTTGCTCATTTTGTCTGTGTTTTTGTTGTTATATCAGGCTGAGGATGTCATGGGGTCTCTACTGAGAGAATACTTGGATGATACTTCAAATCCTTTGGATGGTGACGAAAAAGAAAATGGCGCAGCAGAAAGTCAATCTGTATCATTGAATGAAGCAGACCCTGAGGATTGTTCGAATGAAGTGAATGTGGATACTAACCATGCATGTGGTTCTGATAAAGGAGAGCAGGATCTGCAGAGCAATCTTAAGGACAGTAACACTAAAGATGGGAGTGCCTTGAAGCAACACTTTAAAAATGTTGTTGCAATTGTTGATCCTCCACGCTCTGGACTTCACCCGGTTGTAAGTGTCATTGTCCTCGTTTTTCTTGTGTATCTTGCCTTAACTTGCAAATTTCGGAAACTATTTTTCTGCTGTCTTCTGTGTCTTTATTCTGTTAGCCACCATATCGTTGTATGTTGCATCATGGTATCTTTTTCATTTGAGATAAACATTGAAATGTCCCAAGTTTATAGTTACAATGGACCACTGGTCCCTTGTGATTGCATCTCCATTCAAATTTTATACTGCCTCCGTTTCACATTTTTTGCAACTTTGGAGTTGACACGGACTCCTAGGCAAAAAATGAGAAATGGAGATTAAGAAAAGGGAGGAGCATGTGATTAAGGAAGGAGAGAGAAATTGGGGATAGATTAATAATTAATCACCCTCCATGGCACCCGCTACACAAGTACACAGGCCACCCCTTGACGCACAACCACTTCGCATCACCACCCAGTACCAGTCGCCAACACCAGCCTCATGGGCACCGCCAACCACCACACACCCACCCCGTAGCCACCACACACCCAAAACCTAAAACCCACCTCGTAGCCACCACACACCCACAAAAACCCGAAACCATCTACCCACCCTGCCGAAACTGACCCGACAACCACCACAAAACCATCCCGTAACACACCCATAGAAACTCAAATCATTTACCCTAGCCAACCAAAAATCATCCCACACCCTCTAAAACCACCTACCCACTGACCACCTCTAGCACCCCCAACCCTCATTGAAAAACCCACCGACCCACCTCACCCTTAATTCAGTCGTAAATATCGGTTCAACCACCACCATATAGCACGAAATTTCCGTCACCATTGTCCACACGTAGATCTCCACCACCGGGTGGTTTGTCTTCATGGGAAGAGAGAAGAGAGAAGAGAAAGAGTATGATTGAAGGATAGAGTAAGAAATTGGGGAATTGAAGAACTTCAAGAATTGGGTTTGAATACTGGAAAAATTTGATGATAGCTGGATGTTGGTTCGTGAATTGATTTGGTTGGGTGGGGGAATGAATTAGATTTGGGGGAAATAATTAAAATAATTAAGTTATATTAGTATTTTATTAAGTTTTGTTTTAAGTAATTAATTGAGTTTATGAAAATTTTAGTAAGGGTGTTTTAGTAATTTCATTTTAAAAATTTTACTAAAACTGGAAAATTTTGGAAAGTTGCAAAAAATGGGTAGCGGACGTTTTTGGTAAAAGTTGCAAAAAATGTGAAACGGAGGTAGTAATAAATCTTGATTTCACAAGTCAGATTATCCTCGCGTAATCTATTTGCTTTCTTACTTCCTCCGTTCCTTAATAGATGACACGTTGCTTTTATCACGTTTGCCAATGCAGAATTTTCACGAGTTATATCTCCCATTATCAACATTGTAAAATTATAAAAAGTGGATATTAATAAAATATACATTAAGACGATTCAAACAAGATCTCACAGGGATTATGTTTTATCGTAGCTAGATCACAAAAGCTAGTCAAAGTGTTGTTTGTGAATAGTGCAAAAGTCAAACTGTGTCATCTATTAAGGAACGGAGGAAGTATGTCATATTTCCTCCCACTGTTACACTTCAAGTAGCTGCCTTTGGCCTCTCTTCTATAATATTTGGAATGAATTTCTGACGAATGGTTTAGAACTTTATGGTTGCTGTGAGTAACATTTACGCTTTGTCTCTCATCTGCTTGTTGAAAAAGTGTCATGGATTATTTCTTCAATCATAGTATCCATTGGAAACGAGCTGTATGTTCTAATTGTATTTTATTGGAGTAGGTTCTAAAAGCTCTGAGAACTCATCCGTGTCTGAAGAGGCTTGTGTAAGTCCCTTGCTTTTCTGTACTTGTTTTATTCCATTGGTCCTGTATTGTCTAAATTGCCAGCTTGATGGAAGAACTTTATTTTATAAAAAAAAAAAAAAAAAAAAAAAAAACAAAAAACTTTAGAAAGTAAAGTTGATGGGAAATTCGACAACTTTACAGAAATCGGGACATCTAATGTTTATTTCCGTCTGCAGATACATTTCCTGTAATCCTGAAACACTGGTGGCAAATGCTATTGAACTATGCACACCGTCCTCAGAAATAGCTGAGAAAGGCCGCAAAGGCCAGGGATGGAGGAACATGAGCAATGCTGGTTTGGCTCGTCATAGACTAAAGTCCATGCCGAAGTCCGAGCCATTTCAACCTGTGAAGGCAATGGCGGTTGATCTCTTTCCTCATACGCCGCATTGTGAATTGGTAATGTTGTTAGAGAGGTGAACGCCTAACTTGTGATCATAGTCTCTCTCATAGCTTGTTTCCAATACAATTTTGATGGCAAGGTCAATTTTTTATTTTATTTATTTCCTCTTTGTATACATATATCTTAACAGTATGAGTACTTGGGGAATTTGACGAGAATATTACTACCATGCACTCATGCCGGTAGCCTTTTTTTGTGGTAAATTGTACTGTAATGTTGATACCTTGATATCTCTTGCAGCTATAACTTTTTTTTTTTTTTTTCAATTTTTTTCTTGTAGTCTAGTTTTAGCAGTTCAAGACTTCTATTGCAGTACCTAGGTTAGATCTTGTGCCACGCACGGTAGTTTTTAGTATTATTATCAATTTAGCACTATTTTAATTAGTGTAAAAAAATTGTGCAAAAATAGTGTGATCTAAACTTCTAAATATTTACTAAAATGAAACATAATCATTAAAAAAACCGATTAGCTAAATATGTATTTAAGAGCTATCCAATCAATCATATGCTTATTTTTATGTATTTGGAGTGGTACTGTTATAGCACTTCCTCCGGTCTAATATTATAGCAACAACTGGACTTTTGCACTATTCATTATTTTGTTTGACCATATAATATGATTTGTACGTTAAGCAAAATAAATTATGTGAGATTTTGTTAGTTTCGTCTCATAAAATATTTTCATAATATCAACTTTTTATAGTTTTAGTCTTATACAATTATAGATATTTATCATATAAAATGTGTTTTGGGATGCGTAATTTCATCCTTGTTGCAATATTATTGGAACGGAGGAAGTATTACTTTTCTTGTTAATTAAATGAAAATTTTAAAGTTGTGCATTTAACCCAGCAATTAAATAGAGATGTCAATAGAGCGGGGCGGGGTGGATGTTGGCCTTTACATCCCCACTTAATATTTTCATCCCCATCCCCACAGTGGGTCCAAAATTCATCCCCACCCCCGCCCCAACAGGTACAATTCAAAACACCCCGCCCCACCCCCACTTGGATATCCACCCCCACCTAATCCCCACCCAAAACCCACCTAATCCCCGTCTTCCAAATACACAATCCTACATAATTAATATGGATTAAAATAATAATAATAATAATAATAATAATAATAATTGTTAATATTACACACTTTTTTTGTTTATAATATAAGTGTATTACAAAGTATTATATTTATTATTTTATTTTACATAATTATTTTATAAAATAATATAAAAGTATATAATTTTGGTTTTAAAAATATATAGATGTGGGTATGGGGTGGGGCAAGTATGTATGAAGTGGGGCGGGGATGGGGCGGGTACATCCTAATATCCACTCCCGTAACATCACTAGGCTATGGCGGGTATGGTTTTATCCCCATCCCCGCCCCACCAACCGCCAAATCGAGACCCATCCCCGCACCATTGGGGTGCGGGTGGGGGGGGGAATGGGGCAGGTCTCCTACTTGACCCGCCCTACTGACATCATCCCTACGATTAAATTTTCACACTTTAAAATCATTGTACTATTTTATCTAAAACCATACAACCAAAAATATTAGGGATATTCTATTTGGTGGTCTCATGGTTTCAAAAATTCCACATGGAAGACAAACTTTTTTTTTAGTCTCTGTAGTGACCTCGTGGTTTTGCATATTTGATTATAGTGACCTTTTTTAGGTTTATGGCTAACCTTTTTAGTTAAAATGGTTAACCTTTGATTTTTTTATTTTATTTAAATTATATTTTAAAATAATAAAATTAAAAAAAAACAAAAAAAACAAAAAAATTCCCAGCCACCTATTCCCACCCCTAGCCTCGCCGGAAACCTTGCCGCCGCCGGCTGCTGCTACTCCCCCTCCCCTTGCACCGGTTTCTCCCCTCCCCCAACGCCGGTTTTCCGCCTCCCCCAACGCCGGTGATGAGACTCACCTTCCTCCCCTCCTTTTCCACTGGCAACCACCACTCGAATCTCCTTCCGGCAACCACCAACCACGCATCCTAACCCTATCTCTAACCTAAAACCCCACGAAATCAGCCCACCACGGCCCTTCCCCAGCCACAAAATCAGCCCTATCACTTTCCTCCACCCCGGAAACAACACCCCTCGCTGTTTCGAGATGGAGGAAAAGGAGATAGGCTGGTTTCGTGGCTAGGGAAGGACCGCGGTGGTTTCGGGCTACCGATGCAGCCGGTGGGTGACTGCGTCGGGGTAAGGGTGAAGAGAGGGGGTGTGTCAGCTGGCGAGGCAGGCAGGTCGCCGGCAATCTAGGGAGAATTTTGGGCAGTTAAGGTGAGGGGAGGGGTTGGTTGGCCGGTGATCTGGTGGTGGTGGTTTTTGTTTTTTTTTTTAATTTTATTATTTTAAAATATAATTTAAATAATTTTTTAATAAAAAAAAATCAAAGGTTAACCATTTTAACTAAAAAGGTTAGCCATAAACCTAAAAAAGGTCACTATAATCAAATATGCAAAACCATGAGGTCACTACAGAGACTAAAAAAAAAGTTTGTCTTCCATGTGGAATTTTTGAAACCACGAGACCACCAAATAGAATATCCCAAAATATTATTACATGTCTTTGCAGCAAAGTATTTTTTTTTTATTCAACTTTTCTCTTGTATGAACTTTATTTAAATATTTTTTTATTCTTTCGAATGAAATTAAAGATTTAGACTATAACATAATTTCTACATTAAGTTATTTAAATTTTAGTCAATTTTATTTATTTATTTATTTATTTATTTTACCTTATAACTCCACTTAAAAAAGGTTTCTCCAAAAAAAATTAAAGAAAAAAATAAAATAAAGACACACCTTGAGATGACATGTGTCATTACTAGTGTGTCTTTTAGTATATAGTTATAGTTATTATTGAATGATGACTAGATATGGAAATTGAACTCATATCAATGAATTAAGTAATGCAAAATATATTAATATTATTACTCCGTAATAGGGTCTTTTTAATGGAAAATTTGTCAAAAATAAGCCAACCTTTATGTGATTAGCTCAAAATAAGTCAAACTTTTAACTCATAATAAATTAATGTTTAAGAGGTATTTATTTTAAATAGGTCAAATGACCTACAACCTATCATACAAGTCATTTTCTTTCATTCTTTTAATTAAAATTATTTATTTTACTTAATTACTAAAATAAATTTAAAAAAATACTCAGGCCACCTCTACTATTGACCACATCCCGCGTCGGCCACTACACCCACCCAAAGAAAACCACCACCCAAAATTCGTAAAGTAGAAATAGAGAGAGGGAAGGACAGAGGCGGCGGTGGAGGGGAGAGAAAGAAAGTGATCTGATCGGCGGTGGGAGGGGAGAGAAAGAAAGTGACCGGCGATGGGTGGGGCTGATCGGCGGTGGCTAGTAGGTGAATGTGGTCGGTGTGGGTTGGGGCTGTTTTTCGTTGGGGGAGCTGAGGGATTTTTCTTGATTTTTTTAAAATTAATTTAAAATTTAAAATGAACCAATCATTTAATAACACATGGCATACTTAACCTAAATAACCAGTTACCTTCATAATCAACAGGTTATGAACTAATCCCTCCGTTTCATAATTATTGTAACATTTTTCTTTTACATATAAGTATACGTGTTTCATAATTATTGCAACACCTCATATTTGGAAAAGACCTACCATTATTTTGTTATTTCGTATTTCTCTTTCCCGCACTTTTACAAATATACTATTATCTCTCATACGAACCCTATTTACATTACCTTTTTATTATTTTTCTGTCCTACTTACTATAATTTATATTATAAAAAAATCCTTTTTTGGTCCACCCCTATAATTATCCTAAAACTTTGTGCATACCCTATTGTTGCGATTATTATGAAACGAAAGGAATACTAATTATTAAATATAAGACTACGATCCATTTTTCGCCCTCTTTGATAGGAACATAATAGGGAAAGTTATGTATGCCCTACTTGATGGTTTATAAGAAGGCAAAATTCAAGTCACCCTCTTTTCTAGAACAAAGTCGCCCTCCTTGAGCTATTTTCTTGTAGTGCCTATTTTTCCTTTTTATGTTGCTAATGACTGAAAAAGTTTTTCAAAAATGGCTAGTTATAGCACGCGCACATTAACCACCCTAATATGGTAGAAATCTTTTCATAGTAGGTTTTTCTCCCTTAAGCTTAGTTGCTTGCTTAATAGTCTTCAATGCTGTTAATTGTGTGGGTAATTACATACTAGTTAGCGGTACGATTATCAACTTATTTACATTTGCTCCTGAGAAACTTAAAAGCTAATGTTTTATGATTAACATTTTATGCTAAAATCAATTTAAAATTGTAAAGACTTTGGTGCAATTATAAAAATTATAATTCCATATATGGTAGGAAATGTCCAACGCTAGTTGATTATAAGTGGAAACTCCAGTCATCTTGGAGAGGGATTAGTAAAGCAACTTTTCTGATTCTATTAGAGAAGAAATTAAAAAGCTTTCCATTATACGTACAACTTTTTTTTTTGTTACAACTCATACTTGGGCTATAATGATAAATAAAGTCTAGTAAAGCAACTTTTTCTTTCTAGTATAAGAAATTAAATTTGTATAAGCAACTTTCGTACGTATTATCCTCAAAACTCACTCTAGTATTTTTTTTTTTTGACGATGTAATATTTACCGTTTGTCTTTATAAAAAGTAAGGCCTTATTATATTCACCTTATTTTAAGTATTTCAAATCTCTTAAGTTCATACGAAGTATAAGATAAATTAAGAAAACATATATTTTTGAAAAGGGTTGATAAGGGTTATATTTAAGTTTAAATTACAAATAAAATACATTTTATTAAGTTCAGATAAATTCATATAAGATAAAATAATTTTAAGTAAGGGAAATCAGGTAAAATGGTGACAATAAGTCTTGTATAAGGCTAATTTACGTTAATTTTATTGAAAAACGGTCAATATGAGTGTAACTTTAACCCCTTTAAGGGTAACTTTTAATTTGTGATAGGTTTAATTTATTTTAATGTGTAATTTATGATAAATATGTGTTATAAAAACTAATATTATTAATCTAAATATATTATAAGTGTTTTTCTAAAAGTAAAATTTATGTTAGAAAAATGGTAACTTTTATAGTATGCTCCCTCCATTTTTAAAAATATTTGTTCCATTTCTCCATGCACGGAGTTTTAGAAGAAATTGGAGAAAGTAATAAAATATGGAGGTAATGGGGTAGGTGAAAGAATAAAAATTACTTCCTCCGTTCTTTTTTTATCGCATCACTTACTACTTTAGGAAGTTTACTTATTATTGCATCATTTCCTTTTTAGGATAAAAAATATTTATGTTCACACTGCAAATACCCAACATACCCTTACTTTTTCACACTTACTTTTTATTTTATCTTACATTACATGGACAATTTTGTATTTTTACGTTTCTCTCTCTTACTTTTTCCCACTACCAAATTTTGCCTCCAAAACCCCTATGATGCAATAAAAAAACGGAGGAAGTATAAAAAGTAAAAGTAGTTGAGAGAATTGGAGGAGAGAGAATATGAAATTAATAAAATATGATTTATGTTGGGTTCACTAGTTGAGAGAAATGAATTAAATATTGTAAAAACCTTTCCAATAAGAAAATGAAGCAAGTATTTTAAACAGCCAGAAATGGAAAGTAGAGCAAGTATTTAAAAATGGAGGGAGTATAAGGATAACTTTATACTACGTATATTTTTAGGGTAATTTTAACCCATCTTACAATAACTTAATGTAAATCTGCCTTAAATAATAAGAATTTGTGGAAATGGTGAATAGAACACACCAATAGTTACACATATATAGATAAAAAAATCCATAAAAAAATCCTATCACTACTTTGAAAAAAAAAACGATTTTTTTCTAGATAAGTATTCTCTTTGTCTCAAATTAGCTATTCAATCTGTTTATTACCACAAACAGGAAATAACAATCTGTTTATTACAAGAAAGTACATTATAAGAGATCTGGTTGCATTGGCATGTATTTTAAAAAATATTCACTTTTTTGATAATTTTATGGAAAGGCAGTCACAAATTATTGATAAGACCAACCTTTATTTATTGACTTATTATTGTAAGATTTGTAACACGGGTTAAATTTAAACACCGTGTAACTAGCTACACCGTTTTAAATATACATTATCATAACAACTCAATTCTTTGGCTGACACTGACAGATTAGTAAAGCAACTTTTCTCAATTTCTAAAATAAAAAATTTATAAGATTTAATTATATTGTAACAACTCAATATACTACGTATATTTGGCCGACAATGAGATAGACTCATACACTAAAAAGAACAATTTAAAGCCAGTTTGTTATCACTTAAATGTATGGATTTGTGGCTTTATTATCAAATGGAGATTAGGTCGTTTGGATATGATTACACTTACACTAATGCTAAAAATGGACTAGTAAGTAGTGTAAGATGGGAGAATTAAAAATGGACTAGTAAGTAGTGTAAGATGGGAGAATTCTCCTTGGAGGCATATTATTGATATGTGCCAATATATATATCCTTTGGGTATTAGGGTTTACAATCATACAAAGCTAATTATGGACACTAAAATATTTACATATTTATATTGTCTAACACACCCCCGCAGTCGAATCGGGAGGAGGACAAATGGATAGATTGGAGCGAAAGTCCCTGAATAAGGGAATAGGAAGTCCCTTTGTGAAAATATTTGCATACTGATAGGAGGAGGGAACATGTAGCACTCATATGTGACCCAAAGCAACCTTTCCCGAACAAAATGAATGTCCATTTCCACATGCTTGGTTTGTTGATGTTGAACTAGGTTATGAGACATGTATACGACACTACTGTTATCACAATACACAACCGTCGCTTTCCGTAGGGGATAATGAAGTTCGAGCAAAAGATTTCGAATCCATGAAGTTTCGGCTACCACATTTGCAACCCCACGGTATTCGTCCTCAGCATTAGATCGTGACAATGTGGGTTGTCCTTTGGACGACCATGATACCAAATTGTCACCCAAAAATACACAATAGCCAGAAGTAGAACAACGGGTATCGGGGCAACCACCCCAATCAGCATCAGTATAAGAAATAAGACCAGAAGCAGGAGTAGAAGAGAAATTGATAAGTGGTTTATTTTACCACTTATTGTGGTGATTTTAACTCGATTTTGTAATCTTTTCCCCTCTTTCTAACCCCCTTTTGTATATAAATGATGCATCTTGGCTTTGCTACCTCTTTGTATGTGTTTTTCCATGATTTGTAGGTATAAGACAAGCTTTGACAAGCAAGCAAAGCTCGTGGAAGAACGCTAGAGGCATCAGTTGATGAAGGTGAAGGGAGAGGTCGCTCTTGGAGGAGCAGACAGGCACCTCTCCAAGAGCGGGCGCTCCTGCAAGATTTCAACATTTTGCCCATTTATGAGAAGTAGGAGGAGCGGGAGTGCACCACCTTTGGAGTGGGCGCTCCCCCCCTGTCGAGCTGATTCTACCTTTATTCTGAAGCAGGAGGAGTGGGCGCGCACCACCTTTGGAGTGGGCGCTCCTCCCTTGTCGAGCTTATTCTGCCACTATTTGAAGACATAGGAGCGGGCGCGCAATTTCACTGGAGCGGGCGCTCCGAGCTAAGGAGTGGGCGCTCCTATTCCTGGAGTGGGAGCTCCAATCTGGAAATCCGATTTTCTTTTGACGAATTTACCTATGTAATTCCGGGAGTATAAATACTACCCCTTTTTGTTCATTTGAAGGCAGTAGTTTTTAGAATAGTTTTAGCAATTTTCCTCTTAGTTAGCAACTTAGTTCATTACTTTAGTTGATGATTTAGTGTATAAATTCTCACATCTAATCATTGTGGAAGTGAATTCAAGGATTGTTCTCTAATTTTCAGCAATTGTACTCAACTTTGAAGCTTCAATTTAGTAACTTCTTTCACCTTTCTCTATCAATTTTCTGATTTTATTTTGATATTGCAAGACTCTTTGAATCTCTCTTGAACTTGTTAATTTGTTGTTGCATGTTAGTTTTATCTTTGATAAATCACTTTTTCCCAATTTTAGAATACTTAGAACCCTAACTTGGAACTTTTCATGTTACTCACAATGAGTTATGTCTCTTTGCTAGGGGTTGGGTGAAACTCAACCTAATGGTTAATTAAGTGAGTTTGGGAGAGTATTGATGATCGATTTATGATTAAATTGATTAATGGGGTTTCTTGTTAGTTCACTTTGATAGGAGTAAATACCCTTGATTTTGGGCTTGATGGCATGATATGCTTAGTTTGACATGAGAATGTGAATTAAGTTTATCATTACTTGTTGCAATTTGATTACTTATCTCCTATTGCTGAACTAATGAGGGATCTAAGTTTAGGAGTGTGTGTTGTTTTCTTAATTGCATGAGGTTGGTTTTACATGTAGTATTTGCTATCTCTTGTCTCTATTTGCTCCCAATATGCTAGGTTACCATGGTTAGTGGATCCCATTCCCTAGTGTTTTTAATTACTTGATTTAGAAACAATAGCTTGTTTGTCTAATTGACGAACCCCCAAAGCAACCAAAGTCTTCAAACTAGCTTGCATGTTAAGATCTTTAGCAATTATTTCCCATTCCTTGTGGACCGAACTCTTACTTATCATTGTGCTTGGTTTTGTGAGATTCTTGCTTATAAATGTTTTTGAGTGAGTGTGGAATGTGCGATCGTTCTAACGCCCATCATAAATGCATCCCATAATTAAGCGTATCTTTTATGTATCGAAGAATACGCTTAAGAGCATAAAAATGAGATTCTCGGGGGTCATGCATGAACAGGCACATCTGCTGAACTGCATAAGTGATGTCCGGTCTAGTGAAGGTAAGATACTGAAGTGCCCCATCAAGTTGACGATATAGATTCGCATTGTCAAACTTGTTGCCACTAGAAGCACTAAGTTTGGACTTCGTGTCCACAGGAGTAGAGGCCGGTTTACAATAAGACATATTAGCCCGGGCAAGAATTTCCTGTGCATACTTTCTTTGACAAAGAAACATTCCTTCCTTGGATCGAGAGACAAAAATACCAAGAAAGTAGGAGAGGGGGCCAAGATCCTTCATATCAAATTCGGCACTTAAGAGTGCAATGATTTTCCGGCGGAGAGTATTTGATGAGCATGTCAGAATTATATCATCAACATATAACAAAAGATAAATTGTATCGGCACCCCGTCAAAAAATGAAAAGGGAAGTGTCACTCTTTCTATTTACGAACCCAAGAGAACAAATGTGAGAAACAAACCGTTGGTACCAAGCACGTGGAGCCTGTTTTAAACCATAAATAGAACTGCAAAGGAGACAAACATGTTTGGGCTTATCCGGATCAACAAATCCAGGTGGTTGATGCATATACACGGTTTCTTGCAAGTTACCATGAAGAAATGCATTTTTCACATCAAGTTGATGAATACTCCACTTTCTTGACACAACTAAACTCAAAATAGTACGAATGGTAGTAGGTTTGACAACCAGACTAAATGTCTCGTCACAATCAACACCAACCTCTTGACCTTTACCATTAGCCACAAACAGAGCCTTATACCGCTCAAAAGAACAGTATGACTTCTTTTTGTTCCTGAATATCCACATACCACGGATGACATTGGCATCGGCGGGGTGTGGCACTAAATGTACCATGGCATTATATTCATCACACATTACCTTATACCAGTTCGGATCTTTAAGGGCGGAGAGATGAGAGCGAGGTAGAGGTGAGATTGTTGGAGTAGTGGTAGAGGTGAGAGCATAATCATCATATTTTCTTGTTCGGTTTGAAAATACCGTGCTGAACACAAGTAATCATAGAATGGGTATACTGATTAGTGGCGTGAGATTGAGAAACTTGGGTAGGAGAAGAATCTAGCCCAGTGAATGTAGTAGAGGGCCCAAGTAGATTTGAAGGAGGAGAGAAACCATTTGCATGGGTAGCCCCCGAATGGACCGTGGCTGATTAAACAAACCCATGGTCCATTTAAGGACTATTCTTCCCATGCAATGGAGGAGTTTGGGCAGGGTGATTGGATAAGGAAGGAGAGTGAGTGTTGGGTTCAAAAGATGATGGACTTGCGGGCTGCACATGTGTTTGAGTGTGATGAGCATGGAGAAGAAATGGATGATTTGGAGTATCATCATCAGAAGAAATAAAATCATAATCATCAAGTTTTGCAGTGTAAGATGAGGAATAAGGAAATATACTTTCATCATAAACTACATGCCGTGAGATTATGACCTTTTTAGACTTGATATCATAACACCTATAGCCTCGATGTGACGAAGGATACCCAAGGAAGATGCATGGGGTAGAACGAGGACTCATCTTATTAAGTGAGGTGGCCGATAAATTAGGATAGCATAGGCATCCAAAAGTACGAAGATGAGTATATGAAGGTGCTTTGTGACAGGATAAAGTCGTATCACCTAATCAAAAGTATTACCTAAGTTCTCTAACTAAAGTAGATAGGGAAGTAGGGTCGAATCCACAAGGAAACAATGTTCTTTTATTACTAATTAATTATTATAATCTAAATTATAGAGTAACCAATTTGTATGTGTGAATTATGCTAATAATTAAACTAAGCGAATTAAATAAGAGAATAATCAATAATAAAAGGTCTAGGGTATAGGTTCACCAATAAATAATACTCCAGGGTAAAAATATAACAATCAATCATCAATGCATAAATTAATCAGATTATAAAGGGCTTTCGCTACGTATTATAATCATAGAATTAATCTACCGGTATTAAATCGCATCTCTCGAATCTTGACCTAACCATTTATAGATTAACATGCCTATTGAAACTAAGCATAAACATCAATTCTCATCTCTCGAACCTCGAACCAATATTGCAAACCTCATACAATTAAACCTGGCCAAATCTAATTGCATAGCATTTAATCAATCAATAGGAAATTAATCAATCATTAACAACCAACAATAATAATTTACTCCTTCATATTATTTATGGATCCCCACAAACCCTAGAAATAATCTACTCACTCATAATCAAATCTAAGCTATACAAAATAATTAAACAAAACATAATTAACCAAAGCAATTAAATTACTGAAAATAAAAGGGAAAGGAATTGTTACCAAATTAAATGGAAAGGATGAATTACATAAATCAAAGAATGTAGAGTGAAGAAGAGTATCAAGAACAAAGCTTAAGCAAAAATCTGGAAATTAATCTAATGAAAAACGTAATCGTCAGTCTAAAAAACGTCCTACAATTTAAGCAACCCAAAGTATTTATACTAAGCTCCTAATACTAATTAAAGAAAAAGCATAAAACAAATTAAAATTCCTAACGTAAACACGCGCCCGGTCGGGGGCGCCTTTTTCCTCTCTGATGCTTTGCTCGCGCCCGGTCGGTCGCGCGTCCGGGCGAAGCTCGCCCTTTACTATCTCCCTCGCCCGGTCGGGCGCGCCTTTGGGCGAAGCCCTGCACGATCGGGCGAGCTCCCGGGCACTGGATTACTTCAATTGTTTTGGGCTAGTTTTCTTGGCCCAATAAGATTTCATCCTTGGGTCTTGAATTATGGTCCAATGTCCGAGCTCTTCTTTTCTTCACCGAGCCCTTAATCACCAGGTTGATTTTTCTAACGCGACCCTGGGCTCCAGAATATGATCATAGTAACGCGTTTCGCTCCAATGCTCGTGGTGGCTCAACTAAGTACGGGGAAAATGCTCCAAATCTGCAATTTCCTATAAAATTATACCACAACTACGAAAACACTAGAAAACGTATATTAGTAATAAAAGTAAATACTCCTAACTATGATCAAGGGACGGGGATAAAATACTACATAAAATGAACATATCAAACTCCCCCAAGCCAAAATTTTGCTTGTACCAAAACAAAGAGCTCATCAATGAACGAATAAAATATACTTCACCCCAAATATCAATCAAAACCAAGCATAACCGATTCAGGGAAAATCCAACAAATATGCATCAAAATTAACCAATCAAATTCATCTAACTACTCATCCTTCCTAACAATTGTCAAATAGAGCAAACCACAAGAGCATATAGAATTCAAGACTAGTGTTCACACACTCAACTCTCATTTATGTGGCGAGTAAAAGATGTACTTGATCGCTCTCCAACCACCCCTTTATATGTGAACAATGCCCTCCCAACTCACGCACTCGTGTGTTTAAAAGACATGCACTCAACCTACTAGTCGACTTGAAATATGTCAAATCATTCTTTGCATTGAAAAACAACTAATTTCACATTCACATAACTCTATGCACAAAGGTCGGAAGGTTTTCAAAGCTTGTAATGTAAGACTTAGGTAAAGGGTAGGAAATATTTGGGAAAATGGGAGAGTAAAGCCATGCTTAAGGGAGCCAAATCCTAATTAATAAAACCAAGGTAAAAAATAAATAATGACCAACACATTTCCAACACAACTCAACCCTACCAAAAATTCACCAAACATCCAATCCATTCATAACCAAATTTCCCAACACTTACAGTTTCACTCATAAAATATAACATTATAGAACTTGAGAGAACAAACAAACTTTGAACTTGAATTTTTTTTCGTTCTCATTTTTCTCTCGAAACTTATTTTTCTCTTTCTTTTCTTTTGAGCAACCTTCATTAGAACACTTGAACATTGAAACAATTTTTTTTCTTTTGCTCTTCTTTTTTTTTTCTTTTATCTCACATTGGAATTTTTTCACTTTTGAACACTTTTTTTTTTTTTTAATTTTTCCAATCCACAAAAATAAGAACAAACAAACTTCTCAAAACCCACCCAAATTGTGCAAATGAATACGCACACTACAAACTCCCTCACCTCACTCACTAATAGCTCCCACAAGCCAAGCTTGGGACTAGTAACCAATGGAGCAAAATAGGCTTGTAATGTGGCTAAATAAACAATAAAAGGGCACAAGCAACAACATGGGTAGTAAGAAGGGAACAAATGCATCTAAAATCATCTGAAGGCCACCTAAAAGAACAAATGCCTTCGTCCTCCTCATTGTGTATAATAATGAGTCATACAAACATTACTCAAAGTTATAAACCAATACTCAACTTCATTGACATACCAGGAACTAACACACATGTCTAACCAAATCAACTAGTCATCAAGCACTATATTCACAAGCAGTTGGGCAAAATTGACTCATGTTAAGACATCAAAGCAATCAAACACCAAATCATGGCTAACCTATCCACAATACTCATCATCATATACCAAGAATCAAAACAATTTTCATGTATGGGGCACAGGGAAGCATGATTTATAATTCATTGGAACGTATTTTTGGATTTTTTAAATTTTTTTCAAAGCAGTAAATCTACCCTAGAAAGCAATAAAACTAAACTATACACATCAAAAACAAAAATAGAGAGAAAATAAAGATACCTCAATCCAAAAATCTCCCCCAAGCCAAAATCAGACAATGTCCTCATTGACTCGGGAATTACCCCAGCGCAGCTAATCATCACATCCTCATCCATCCGGCCAGACCCACCGCCACTGCCACCTACACCACCAAAAGAACTACCACCAAAATAGTTAGGGTTAACATCCCCCCCTAACCCCCCAAAGAGAAAGTCTCGGCCATAGTCGGCAAATGTGGAGTAATCAGTGTAAATACCATGGGAGGCGGGATCTGCACATCCCTGGGGTGGTGGCTGGTACCAATCAGGGTAAACGACATCGTCGGGAATAGCACCCCGATGAGCATAATCATCATACATGGGAAAAAGGGCTCTACCCTGGTTCTTCTCAACATACCCTAACCTCTGGTCAATGGAGCCAACCATCCTCCTAAGGTCACCCGGGACCGCTCTACCCTGCCTATGGCCTGACCTATACTCAGTAAATCCCAAATGGTCTCGGAGTCAAGTCTGGGTCGTGGTTGAGGTAACTGAGGAGGAGGTGGTGGTGCCTCATAGTGAGGCTGTGGGGGTGATGGTGCACGTGGTGGGGGCTAATTTTGACAGGATAAAGTCATATCACCTAATCAAAAGTATTACCTAAGTTCTCTAACTAAAGTAGATAAGGAAGTAGGGTCGAATCCACATGGAAACAATGTTCTTTTATTACTAATTAATTATTATAATCTAAATTATAGAGTAACCAATTTGTATGTGTGAATTATGCTAATAATTAAACTAAGCGAATTAAATAAGAGAATAATCAATAATAAAAGGTCTAGGGTATAGGTTCACCAATAAATAATACTCCAGGGTAAAAATATAACAATCAATCATCAATGCATAAATTAATCAGATTATAAAGGGCTTTCGCTACGTATTATAATCATAGAATTAATCTACCGGTATTAAATCGCATCTCTCGAATCTTGACCTAACCATTTATAGATTAACATGCCTATTGAAACTAAGCATAAACATCAATTCTCATCTCTCGAACCTCGAACCAATATTGCAAACCTCGTACAATTAAACCTGGCCAAATCTAATTGCATAGCATTTAATCAATCAATAGGAAATTAATCAATCATTAACAACCAACAATAATAATTTACTCCTTCATATTATTTATGGATCCCTACAAACCCTAGAAATAATCTACTCACTCATAATCAAATCTAAGCTAAACAAAATAATTAAACAAAACATAAATAACCAAAGCAATTAAATTACTGAAAATAAAAAGGAAAGAA